AATGGCATGCCATCAGTTGTAGCCGCTCTAGATCTTGCCACGGATGGAGTCTGCCTGAGAATGGAAGCGAAAGTATATCAGCCCTTTTAGGCAACATAACTGGCGTGTTTATGAGTAATTCCAACATCTTTGGAAACCAGACTTGTGTTTGCCATCGTGGGGCAATAAGTCTGGCGATTGATTCATCGATTTAAATTTTCGCCAAGACTTTCCAAATTAGACAGAATGGGGCAAATGCACAGACTTTGTAGTCAGACCAGTCCAGTGTAAATGCATCATAACTGAATGCACCCGGATCAGGTTGCCATGTTCGGCTACACATGGCTAAATTTGACAATTCAATCTTGACACAAACATGTCAATGTCAGGCACGATGAATTTCGCAATTAATTTGCGGGAAATGTCTGGGTGTAATTTCCATTCTATATCTTCGAGGAAATTCTGTGAAGCTAAGTCTACCATCACAATATTAACCCCAGGCAAATACGATACAGATAGCCATATCTTTCTTGCCATGCACCATGACCAAATTTCCCTTGCAAGTTCATTTAACTGACGTGAATGAACGTGTGCCACCAAAATACTGAATACACGAAACAACTGTTGTGTTGTCCGTGTTTAGGTGAACATGGATGTCCCTGTGTTTATTGTAAAGGGACTGCAAAGCAAAAAAAGAATGCCTTGAGCTCAAGATAATTGATATGGAAATCAATCTCTGTGGTGTGCTGATGACTCGGCCTTTGAGGCCCACTCCACAGCGGCGTCACAACGAAACATAGACCCCTTTTCAGCAGCCTCCAAGGCCTTTGGATTATCAATAAACACAAAGAAGACAGAGGTGTTACAGCCTGTTGTATCAGCAAGTGTTCATCAGTGCAACCGTCCTGTCTACTCCCCTGTACTCTGCCGAGACATGTGGTTGCAGACCAGTAAATCGGTCCGAAATTGCCTACGCCGGCCAAATCACGATTTGCATGCCCTCAAAATCGTTAGTATTTGAGCATGCTGTGGGCCATGAGCTTGAGGGTTTGTAAAAAATAAGGGTGGAAGCCGTGCACAGGACTGTGAGCTTGTAGTTCCGTTCAATTTGGATGACATTGGGGCCCTTAAAGCGCTCTATTTTGCAATGGAGTGTAGGCATCGTTTTTCAAAATGGCGATGGTCTTCAGGACTATTTTCAGGGGTGATCATCTTCGGATGGAAATTGTTCCTAAAAGTCATCAGATGACCCCCAAAAATTGAAAAGAAAATGAAAGAGCTGATGATGAAATAAGCTTTAATTTGATGTGTGTCTCTAACACCTTGGAGAGTTGTGAGTATTTTTTCCCGAATTTCTGAAGTGGGAGCATTTACCACTGGGGTCTATGGAAATTCATTTACTGGTCTGCAACCATATACACTCTACCGACGACACATCAAGCAACTGGAAGCAGTTCAACAACGCCATCTGCGACAAATCATGAACATCACTTGGGATGACCGCATTACATACAATGAGGTGCTCTCTCGTGCCCAGCTGCAAAGCATTGAAGTCACACTGCTACGGAAACAACTTAAGTGGGTGGGACATGTGGTTCGAATGGATGAAGGCCGCCTTCCAAAGTCTGTCTTGTATGACGAACTGAAAGACAGCCCACGTTTGCACGTGGTGAAACGACATCTGGTTGCAGCCAACGTAGACTGCAAACCCTTCAGAAACTGGGAAGTGCTTGCCGCCGACCGTTCGGCCTGGCGAGCTGCTGTAGGAGCCGGGCAAATGTCGGCAGAGTCAGCGAGGGCAACTGCAGCAGAGTCACGACGTCAACGGCGGCATGAAGCATTAACGTCCCAACTGAACAACCCCAATCATGACCCACAGGACTCACTTGTGTGTACAGTCTGTGGCCGTCTCTGTCGCGCCCAGATCGGCCTGATTTCACACATGAGATTTCACCAACGACGTGACAACCTGGTATCTGGAAATAAGTCTTCCTTGACATCGAGGGACAGCCAACACACACTCGTCAATGGTTGAGCCTAGCAACAATGAATCGTCAATTCGTCTTAAGGAGGCGGTAAATTGTCCCAAAACAGGATCCCATTTACTGGAACATATGATGAACACAGGCCAGAAAACTGTTTAAGTAAGACTTAACTCGCACGTCTTCTCATATTAAGCTCGTGGATGGCATGCCTGATCACTGCTACCACGTCAAGCAGTTTGGTGATTTTTCCCTTAAAATCTAGATTATCATATCTGCAGCTGACCCATTTGGTCGCGTCATGAGCGAATTTTTTACGCCCACAATAGGCACCACTCCTTTCATGAGTGCTTGCTGCACTTTTTGCAGCTTTATGTCTTGTGACCGAGTTTTCGGTTTCAAAGAGCTCCGGACCTCTGGATTGACTCGTGTACATTCCAGGTTTTTTACATTAGTTGGTCGTTGGAGGGCCTTAAACTGTTCAGCAGCATTTATATCTTCTGGTAGCTTGTTACGCACCATTTTATCAATGACCTTAGCCAATTTTCATTTTTCAAATTGTTTAACCGCTGCCTAGTCGTCCTGGCCTGTAGTTTCTTAATCGTGAATTGATTCTTTGAGCAGTTCATCTATGGCCTTTGAGGCACTTGTATTAGGCCAAAAAAGGTCTCCGGTTTCTGATGTGCGCGCGCGTCGCCGTAAAAATACGCGTCGCCAAAATGAAAACTGTTTTTGTTCAATGAAAGATGATGACTCAAAACTGCCAAACTCAATGGTTTGACTGAAATCCTGCTGCTGCACAATTTTAACGTGTTTTTAGACGGGGTTATGATCGAGAATAAGCTTTATGTGGCCTCTGTGGACTCCCATATATTTGCACTAAGTTTAGTCGGGCACCATTTGCAGTCATCACCCGACATTTTAAGCCAAAACAAAAAAAGGTAAACAAAAAAGCCGCGTCGCCGCACCACATTTTGGGCAAGCTCCACACCATTTTTTGCCTTATCAGAGTCGGATTCCGAAGCTAGGCGCAGCCGCTTTGCGGCAGGTGGACTGAGGATCAAGGGCCGTTTGAATATTTTCAATAAATTCTGCCATTACGGTCTTTCAAACGGGAGAACTTGATTTTCAAAGATTTTGCCCACGAACATTAACATGTCTGTGTGCATGTTGTTTCATTTAAAATAAAGTATCACGTAGCATTTAGAAATCCGCCATCGCAACCACATGGCTGTTAGATGACATTATATTGTTCTATAATTACATTGATTAGCTTATCAATAAAGAAAACTTGACACATTCAAACGTTGCCGTCAGCATAACATCACTATCCAATGGTAGATTTTTGGATGGTAGTCTGGACAAACACGATTCCAGCGGCCTGACCATGTTTCACGAGATGACAAAAACCTGCAAAATCGAAAAATTTGCGATTTTGAGTTTTGCGGCCAATTTATTCGACTTGACAAAAAGAAGAATTTGGCCGAGTTTCCACGCAAAATATCGTTTACTTGTGTAATTATCGTAAACAAACATTTGACAAAAGCCTGAAATCTGTGTTTTTCTGTGTTCACGAAGTGACAGAAACTTACCTCGTTAGCAGGGCCAGAGGAATAATGCATTTCTCTACACACGCGTTATGATGGGAGTGGACGCGCACGCCGTGAACGATGTCGATAAAGGACAGACACACGCGCGCTGCAGTGACGTCAGACGCGCAAATGTAACAATTTCTTAGAACGTTTTAAGTTTCACGAAGTGACGAAGAGTGTGTACAACTTCATGGGAAAAAATAGTGAGGCCTCTGTGTCTTGCTGTTTTCACGAAGTGACAAAAACCTTAATTGATTTTTATTAATGAATTACAGTTTAATTAAGACAAACTTCTAATAAACAACTTTGAATAAGCAAAGAACAAAGCATACGTTACTTGACAATGCAAACATTTCCTCAATCCACAACTAAAAACTAGTCGAAAAGGTGTTTGGAAAAATCGTCACCGTTTTCACGAAGAGGCGAATTTAGTATTCACTGTCTGAACAAACATTCGAGATAATCGCTTTTGATGTTGGTCTTATTTCATTTGACAATTTGAAACTTAAAGTTGCATAAAATATGCAAGATTTAGGTATCAGAGGAACGAAGAGCTTCTAATCTTCCTAAAGGTAGCAAACTTTAAGAAAAATAGGTGATTAGTTTTGCAGAATTAATCAATTAAGAGATATGGCTCTTCGTGAAAACGAAAAAGAAGAATTAGCAAATTTGCCCCTTCGTGAAAACGCTAAAGTGCCTACGCGCAGATTTCGCCCTTCTGCGGTCTGAGTCAATGCATCTTTTGTACAGTACGCGCAGATTCTGCCCCACTGGGCATGCGCCTTGAAATTCGCCCCTTCGTGAAAACGTTTTATTGCACGCGCATGGTGGTATACGCGCTATTGTATTACAATGTATTGTAAATTAGGTCGGGTGTTTGTGACAAATAGCTACGGACGTGGACGGCACACAGACAGACAAATGGCAAAGTAAAATAAACACGGACAGAGATGTTGGGTTCAGGAACAATTCTTCTTGTGATCGATATAACTTTATTCCACTTTATTCCACTTACATCTGTCCTGTCAAATAAGTTGCACGAGTCACTGGTCTGCCGCACAAGCTGTCCGAATCGTTAGCACGATCCTCTCAGTCCGACGTCCAGCTGGAAAGTGAGCGCGCTACTACAAGCCCGCGAAAAACCTGGCACAAATTTAAATAAAAGTCTAAAGCTCAAACACTTACACTTCAAAAACTTTAATGAATGGCAAGTTTTCCATCGGACTTTCTCAGAAGAAATAACTGTTATAAACTTAACAAAATGTCGTCTTTACTTCTCGGAAGACAAATGCTTTCTGAAAAAAATATGCCAAACTTTTGGTTCTGAAATATAAACTTCTTTTGCGCAGGCAAGACATCAAAATGATTATTTTTAGAAACGTCTGAAAGAACATTATTAATCAAGAAAACCCCTGGGAAGAAATCTGCCTGTTAATTCGTGTGGGCATTATTCGTAAACAAAACGTTCCTTGGTGATCTTGGCTACGACAGTCTTGCCGTCGAACAGCTCCTGTGTGGTGCGCTCCACAACTTGTCCTTCCCCATGCTCTGTCTGCACTCCCTTGTTACGCGTCTCCACCGAAGCCGTTGAAAGAGTCCCCACCATCGATGTCATAGTTGTCACTCTGCGTACAGGGAGCGGGCAATGGTCATTGCGAGTCTCCACGGCCCGACGATCAGCCTTGTCTGGGTGAAGTTGCAAGACGTCGAGGTTCCGTCCAGGCGTACGGGGAACCTCCGGTTCGGTCGAGGACTCGTGTGCGGCCTCCCAGTGGCGATCTAAGTCGTGCTTGCGACGAAAGAGGCTCGGACATGACGGACACTCTAACTTCCCTTTTTCGAGATGCTGCTCATCGATATGTCTTCGCAGGCTGGCTGCACTTGTAAACTGCTTATGGCAGACTTTGCAGGTATGTTTGCCCTGAGGAGAGCGGCTTCGAGCTAGGTCTCGTCCCATCTTTCCGAAATGAAATAAACGAAAAGAACCTCTGGTTATGTACATGTATACCTTCTGGTTGGACTTTCCTGCTTGTCTGCATGATAGGCTATAACTGCCATTCTCCATACCGCTGCGGGGGCCGCCGAGGCCGTTTGGGCCTTACTTCTACTACTGGGTTACATTGCAAAGCCAGGGGACTACCCTCATCTTGAGAAATTGGCTTGGAACTAGCGGGTCTGTCCGGGGCCTCAAATTGACTGTTATTCTCTGGGCCTATAAGGTCGGGTCCTCGGTCTCCTCCACAGACATCGTCATTCTCCTGGTAGTCACAATCAGGGCAATTGTCACTGAGCCCATCAATATCGGAGTCGTTGTCCTCCGGGCTATGCGGTGATGAATTATCTCCGGGGTTTGGTACTGCCCTGTGTTCACCCGTCTGTGGTTTTAACCACGTTCGGTCTACGTCACCTTGGAATGGCTTCAACCGATTGACGTGAAGCACTCTTGGCTTGTGTCGGGCACTTTTCTGGACTCGGACAAGTACATCACTGAGTACCTTGGTGATAAGAAGAGGGCCGTCCCATTTCGGCTGCAGTTTGGGGGAAAGGCCGACTTTCTTTGTTCCCACCCTCTCCATAACGGCTCCGCCAATCTCGTAGCGCCCTTTTTTGGCTTTGTGGTTGTAGTTGCGGCGCTGGTATTTGGCCGATTTCTTGAGTTGTTTTCTGGCTAACTCATGGATGGCATCAAACTTGTCCCGCAGGTCTTCTACATAGTCTATGGGCACTCTGTTGGATTCTGGCGGGAAACTGCACATCAAGTCCAGCGGGAGCTCCACCTCTCTTCCGAACAGCATCCGGTTTGGCGTCAGGCCAGTACTTTCGTGCACTGAGGCACGATATGCCATCGTGACTAACGGAACGTGATTGTCCCAGTCCTTCTAATTAGCCGCTATTTATGAGGATAGCATGGTCTTTAGCGTCGTGTTAAAACGTTCGACCTGACCATCGCTCTGTGGGTGAAAGGGGGTCGGTTGTCCTCGTCTTATCGATTCCAAGTAAGACACAAATCTCCTGGAACCACCGGCTTTCGAACTGTCTCCCTTGATCACTATGAAGTTGGCGGGGAGTTCCAAATCTACAGACGAACTCCTTCACGAAGATTTCGGCAACTGTCCTTGCATCCATGGAGGCCATCGGATATGCTTCGGTCCACTTTGAAAAATAGTCAGAGATCACCAAAATGTACCGGTTACCCTCGTTCGTCACTGGTAGTGGTCCTGTAATATCTAACGCCAATCTCTCCAGTGGCACACCAAAGATTTGCTGCTTTAAAAATGCCTTCTGGTGTTTAGCCGGTAGTTTTTGTTTGGCACATTCTAGGCATTTTCTGCACCACAGATCCACGGACTCCTTCATCTTTGACCAGTAGAATCGTGCTTTCGCCTTCTCGTACAGCTTCTTGGCACCAAGGTGCCCTCCAGTCGGTGAGTTATGTAGCTGTTGCAAAACTTCCTTTTGCAGTTGTCGGGGTACGACAAGGCGGTAACGGACTTCATCGCCGGTATCGTCTTCCCACTTCTTGTGCAATGCACCCTCCCGAAGGCAAAGTTGATCCCAGGCACCCCACATGCTCTTTAACTCGGCGCTCTCCGGAGAGACTTCTGTCCATTTTGGTTTTGGTTCTTTCGACTCGATCCACCTGATAATCATCCCAAGGCTTCGATCTTGTAATTGCTGTTGGCGCAACGTTTGAGTGGTCATGCTTTGCAGCCAGTTTGGCTCCACAACCCGGGCAACGGCAAGCCTTATCGACAGTTCCCTTGTTGGACTGCTGCTTCCTTCCTTACTTTGTGGCATGTCCGTCTGCTGGTCATTTGCTGAAGGCTCCATTCCTGGCTTAGATGGCAACAGTACTTCGGTAGTGGGGCAGTCACTCTTTACCTCATCATAATCAGTGACTTCACCAGGAACCCATCCACACTGCCTGCACGGCATCCTGGACATGGCATCCGCGTTCCCATGCCTGCGCCCGGGTCGGTGTTCGATCTGAAAATCGTACTCCGCCAAAACCTGAAGCCACCTCGCCACCTGCCCAACGGGTTCCTTGAATCCAAATAACCATCTTAACGCGCCGTGGTCCGTCCGGAGCTTGAACCTATAACCATACAGGTAAGGCCGGAAGTGCTTTACGAAGAACACCAGTGCGAGCAGTTCCTTTCTCGTTACGCAGTAGTTTCTTTCGCTTTTCGTTAAGGCTCTACTGGCGTAAGCTATGACCTTTTCAGTTCCGTCCTACCTCTGTGATAATACGGCCCCGATTCCATAATCGCTGGCGTCTGTGTCTAAGATGAATTCGCCGGTCGCTGAGGGATACGCAAGGACTGGCGAGGAGATCAGTCGAAGCTTCAGAGCATCAAACGCCACATGACATTCATTGGACCAGACAAAAACATTGCCCTTTTCAGTAAGTCTGTGGAGGAGTCTGTCAAGCTCAGCGAAACTTGGCACAAAGCGGCGATAATAGGACGCGAGACCGAGGAAACTACGGACTTCGTGTAAGTTGCTCGGGACTGGCCAATTCTGTACTTTCTGAACTTTTTCGGGATCTGTCATGACGCCCTCGTTTGACACAATGTGACTGAGGTAGGAAACCTGTCGCTGCAGCACATGGCATTTTTTCGGCTGAAGTTTTAATCCAGCTTCCTGAATGCGGGCCAGTATCTGCTGCAGGCGTTCAAGATGTTCGTCAAATGTCCGGCTGTAGACAATTATATCATCAAGATAGACCAAGCAGGTCTGCCATTGCAGACCACGGAGGACCCCCTCCATGAGTCTTTCGAATGTGGACGGGGCATTACACAGCCCAAAGGGCATTACCTCGAACTGGTAAAGGCCGCAGTGGGCTGCAAATGCCGTCTTGTCTTTGTGGTCTTCATCCATTGGCAATTGCCAGTAACCTGAGGCAAGGTCCAAGGTTGTAAAGTACTTGGAACCCGACAACGTGTCTATGGTGTCGTCTATGCATGGAATCGGGTATGCATCTTTTCGAGTCACTGCATTTAGGCGGCGATAATCCACGCAGAACCGTACACTGCCGTCCTTTTTCCGGACTAACACGACTGGTGAAGCCCACGGTCCAGAACTCGGCTTGATGATTCCCTTCTTTAGCATCGACTGAATTTCCTCTTCCACTACGGCCCTTTTTGTCGGATTGGCACTCGCCTTGCCGGTTGCTTAATGGGAGTGGCAGATCCTGTTTCGATACGGTGCTTAGCTAGCTTTGTACAACCTAAGTCTTCCGAGTTGGCAGAAAACTGATTTTGATACCTGACCAGCAATTCTTGAGTTGCATTCTTTGCCCGGCGCCTATCTCTTTAGAGCCTTGCTCATAAAGAGTTTGAAGATGAGCTGGTACCGCAACTTCTACGTCCTGGTAGCCTGCTTCGCTTTCAGCTGTAGAGACCAAGTTAACGCGCTCTATCACATTTGTCCGATCGGATTCTGTGTCAATGGCGGGCCCTCCTGCATCCACTGTCAGGAATGTCCCTGCTGTGGCACCCTTGTAGAGGGTCACATGGTCACTGGTGGGATTCCACAGTCTTACTGGCACTGTCTCTTCAGTCGTGCTCACGAGTGACGAGGCCACAATGAGGTTCTCCCTTTGCACCATTCCAGGTGTTGGCTCTATTAACCCATAGGCCACACCTACGTCACTTTCGCCAAGTTTCCCGACTATAACCATCTCAGTCTGTGGTGGGACAACTGTTTCCTTCACAGTCACGCGGCAACACTGCAGTGGCTCCGCTGTTTCCCTTAGGGAGAGTTCAGTCCCCCTCCACTTCAGACTCTTCCCGTTGATGTCTATAATGCAATTCTCCTCCCGTAGAAAGTCAAGCCCCAGTAGCACGTCATTGCTGACATCAGCTATGATGAACTTGTGTGCTATTAGTTGACCTCCCAACTGGAGTTCTGCTCGTACCTCTCCGATTACTGTCAAATCCTTTTCATCGGCGAGGTGAACCCGGACATCAGATTTGGTTATACCAGCCTGGGCCTCGAAAAGCCACTTACTCACGACTTTCTCTGACAGCATAAACGCTGTTGCCCCAGTGTCAATCAGTGCTACGACGTCCATTCCGTTGATGACAGTGTCCATGTGCAATCCTTCTCCAACAACAGTAACACTCCGGCTCAGTAGATCTTTTGTAGGCCCCTCCCTAATAGCTGCGTCTTTGGCCACAGACACAGCTACGAACAGTTTCCGGTGGGTTTTGTTGGGTTTGAAACTAGAACTGTCGCCTCCACCTTCTCCTCACTTCTGTCCTTAGCAAGCTGGGGACAATTTGGCTTTATGTGACCATATTCGTCACACTTGTTGCACCTAGGTCCCTTTCCATCGGCTCTTCGACTTTTGCCTTTGTTTCGGGTGTTTATGGACTTCCGCAACTTTTGCAGTTGGTCTGCCAGTTCTTGGACTTGTTGTTGAAGGGCAGTTGGTGTTTGCTGAGCATCACTACTGCTTTGCCCTTCTGGAATTACCTGTGCTGCGGCGGCCCGTACTTTCTTAGGCTCAAAGGTGCTGCGGGCCTTTTCGGCCTTTTGTAAAGCTTCTAATTCAACTGCCGCTGCCACTGCGTCGTCAAGGGTAGTTGTCCTCATTTGAATTACCCAAATCCTGATTTCGCTGTCTTGTAGAGCGTCCAGAAAATGATCCCTACCCATGCAGTCTCTGCTGTCTGCCGAGAGATCGACATAGACTTTGTCCACCAAACGCCTTATGTCTTCAGCCATTTCCACCAAGCTCTCTGTGTTCTTTTGCCTGCGGCTCCTTAGTTGCGCTCTGTGCAATTCCAGTCTGCCCGTAGGGTCGAAACGTGCCTGCAGAGCCTTTACCAACAATTTGTAGTCATTTGTTGTTTCCTTGGGCAAACCACCTAATATCTGTTGAGCAGGACCATTTAGCAACACTGCCAAGTATTGAAGTTTGTCGCGCTCACGCCAGCCGTTCAGTTCGGC